GCTCTAGTGTGAGATTCAAGTGATAATGCCCAACCTTTAATGTTGCGCTAAGGCCCAGTTCTAATGTCAGTGAGGGCAGCACTGGTCATCAGCACATTTACACAGCATATAACCGGCTACAGCAGGATCATAACAGCAGGAGCAAAACAGCATCCAGCTTTTAAGAGAGGAGTTGAAACTTGATTTTGCTTGCCTTAAAAAAAACAAACAAACAAACAAAAAGAAACCTCATTGACAGGGAAAAACATTTAAAATATCAACTTTGAACAACCCTTGGATTTTCCATGACAGTTTGACAGCAGTTAATTAATACAAAGAATTTTTGCAGCTTCTGTCCTGGGTTCTCTTGATTTTTCTCTGTGTTCTTTTGCAGTCTTAAAAATCTAGGTATTTTCCTTTGTTGGTCGTCTTGTTCCATGTGTACTGACTTTACATCAGTCAATAAAGATTTAAACACCAATACTATATGCTTGTGTGATGCAGCAAAAAGCCTACTGAGTTTCAGTTTGATAAATTTGCCAACACAAAGTGAAAGAGAAAGAATGAGAAGAAAGACTGTGTTTTGGGGGGGATTTTTTTTTTAAACACTAGTCACAGTCACCCTGATAATTATGAGAAAATAACTTCCCAAAAGCATGAAATATTTAGTGTATATATCAGTTTACATCAAAAAAAAAAACAGGACAGCGTTAAAAGTTTTGCACAGCAAGTCTGCAAGGTGCTGTACTTAATGGCAATCAAGTATTTATTAAAAATGGAAACAAACACTTACGTAATGTTAGATTATGCTATGATACTGATGTGATCACAGAGCTGATCAGAAATATTCTGCCTAAGCATATTTTGCAGGAATTAGTGTTCACTAAGACCAAAATAGTTGTGGAACCACTCTGCTTTCAAAGAACTTTTTCACTTGGATACAATCAGTTATCTTAGAACCATAAACAGTTACTCTCTCTCTACACTGACTTAGTCCTCTCCAAATTTAGCTAAGTAACTTTATTTGTCAGATTTTACAACAAAGGAAGTCAATTTATGATTCAAGGCAAAGGGAACTTTTGAAATTACACTGCAGTTCCCTATTTAAAACACCAACTTTTCAGAACACCCTAATGATGCAGTTTTTTTAGTATGCTGCTCAGCCAAAAACAAGGAAATTTTTTTTGTTTAATAAAAACACTGCATTTGGACAGAACCTTTTGCATTAGAGGTTTCAATATGCCATATAAATTCTAATTAAGAAAATATATATTAGGTGGCAGTGAAGTTAGGTCCAAAGGAAGTATGTTCATCTTAAAGACAGACATACTAGCCACTACAAGGTTAGATGCTTACTGTTTCAAGACGATGGATAGGCAGAAAGGACAAGTCTCTGTATGTTCAGGAAGCATATACAAAGACTGTTTGCTGACAGATGTATAATTTCCAGAGGATGGGAACTTGGCATGTTTTAGAAATCTGCATCCTTTTCAAGATACCTCAAATTATTCCTACAAAAACTGAGATGAGAAAAATTGTTAGCGTCTTTTTGTAAAGGCCAAAGCTACTAGCTGGAATTTTTATGGGCCATTTTTCAAAAGCAATGTTTCACTAGTTGATAGGTTGGTTGAAAAAGCAACAGACAGAGTAACAGTGTTTGCCAACTTCACCTGAACTGGGTATTGCACCTGTTGCCTCCCCATTCTAGCAAAGGGAACATAAAGTTTTGTATTACTGCTTGAAGGAAAAAAATCTTTTGTTCCTAATACAACTTTTTCCCACGTTTTGTTTACTCCCATATCTTGCTGGTGTAATGATACTGTAAAAAGTCACAGATTCTCATTATGTCTAGTACAGTTTCTCCCCAGTTCTATGCAGCTAAGTGCAATGAATAGCATCATGAGTGACAATATAATTACCAATCACCAAGAAAAGTGTAGTACAGATATAATTTAATCCCACTTAGTCATGCTTGCCTAGGAACAAAGTGTTCTAAATATTCTTTAAAATTAAATTTTTAATCTAACAGTAGTTGTAACAGGATAGCTAAAATCTGAGGGTCTCCGTAAGAGGTAAAAAAAAACAAACCATGAATGTTTCTGTTGCTTGTCTATTATTCATTATCTCTCTTTTGCCTGGAGAAAAAAAAAAGAGAGATGATAACGTGGACAGCAATTTCCATCTGGTAGCAGAAAGCTAACTTTTTAAGTAGCTCATTAGTAGTGTTATGGACACTGTGTATTGAAGGACAGAATCGGGAACTTTCCAACAGCCAGTCTCTGTCATGGAAAGTAATTAATGGAAAAGAAATGTACACACTAAGGAATACCAGTTTTCTAACTTAGGAAACAGAATATTATTAGAATGTATAAAGGACACAAGGGGAAAAACAGGAAGTGGAAAATGACAGTGATTAGGTTATGCATATAATCTAAGGAAAGTATCAAGTGTGTAGGACATGAGCTCTTAACTGGGACCGGAAAGGCATATTGTCTTCATCAGACTACAGCTAATTTACCAAAAGTTTAAACCTAATTCCAACATTATGCTGACCTGTTCAAAAGCCATGCCAACAGAAGAGAGAGATACAAGCAGGCAGTGGTTGATTTGGAGAAGGGAAACAAAAGCTGTGCTAAAGGTCATTTGTCAACCAGTGCAGAAAATGAGATAACTAGAATAGAGGAGTTTTACCAAAACTTAGTAAGTATGAAACTAGAACATACCTCATCATTAACTGTCTTTGCTTGCCCAAGAGGATTGTAGGAACGAAGCCTACCACATCAGGGTACACTCTCAAAAATCTTCTGAAGAGGTAGCTGCTGGAACAAAAGAGTGGAAATGGGGAAGAGAGGTGAGAAAAGGAACTGGATACATTTCCTGAAAGAGTTACTTAGTTTCTCATGCTAGTTTGCCCTGTAATTATAATTACAAAATAAACGTTTTCAGTCTGCCCCAGGGTGTAACACTTGTAAGATGCTGTTATGAAGAATTTCAGGAGTGAAGAATTTTCAGGGTTTGGATCGCTAAGTGACAGCTTTTGTTAGCTACATTGAAATTCTCAGCTACAAACCCTATCCTAGAGTTAAGTGCCTACATTACGTCTGAAAGTCATCCCAGAGTCATCCCATCCCAGAGCATCCAGGAGCCCAACAGTTAGCATTGCTCCCAGGCAGATTTTCTGTTTCTCCTGGACACCATAACCTTCTGGGATAGCATGTGAGAAACTTGCTGATTTTTCTTGATCCTCATTTACAAAGACTTGCTTTCTGCTTGCACGAGGGTGACTCATGGGTTATCTCCCTTCTCTTTTCTTTCTGCAGATCATTCTGTCCCCTACTGCCTATCATCAAAGCAAAGTTTGTAAGGAGAAGGTTTTTATTAAATTAATTAACCTAGTTGAGAAAGCAGACAAACTTTCAGGTGTACAGTCCTCTTCCAGTTGCATTCTCAAGGCTTTTTTTCAGGTAACTTGAAGAAGGGCTTATGTGCCAAACATGTTTATCTCCAGTTAAATTGCGTGGTTTAATAAAGTAGATAATCTTGCTATATCAATCTTGTTTGGCTTACATCTTTTAATGGTCTTGGCTACAACATTTGTATATCAACTTCATTCCTCAAGCTATTGCCCTCTAAATTCTATCCCTCATCTCTTTGGCTGTCCTGTTGGATTAGAAATTTACAGAAGTTTAGAAGATTCTTCTAATCAAGAAAAGTAGATATTTCAAACAAAAGATTCCTAAGTATGTGCTTATATCTGATTCATTAAGTGGAAATAGGTGTTTTTCATGAAACTGGGCCATGAACTTGCCTGGATAAGGATACTTTTAGGCATGAATGTGAATACTTTGCCATATTATGGCTATGATGAAAAAAAAAAACAGGAAAAAAAACAAATAGTAAGTACAGAACTTGGGAGGACTGGATTTAGATGGTACACCATTACTAACAGAAATGTAAAGCAATGCTTTTTCCTTCAGCAATACAACTTGATATCGAGTTTGAGCTCCTAATATCAAACAGAATCTTTTTTCAAATAACAAACTATCATCTAGAAGTTATTTTGACTATAATGCGTGTCACTGTTTTCATTAACAAGGACACTTGCACAAAAACAGTGTTTGCTCCTCTGAAGTAACACGCTCTTACAGTTCATCCTTCCTCTGAACTCTCAGTTTTCCACATAAAAGCCTGCTGGGAACACTCATGCTCTTTTCAAACAGCTGTACTAGTAGATGAATTACTAATCCTCCGCTGGAGATCACTGCTCCACCTCTCAGCTGGCTGGAGGGATTATGCAAACACAGCTTAATGTGCTGCCGGCAGAGCCAGATGGGTTCATTTAAATATCCCGTGAAGAGTGATTTCAGCCAAACAAAGTGGCTGTGCCTGACAGGAAAGGGAAAAACTCAAGCGATCCCTACACTGATAGGGCTGTGGGGCCGGTTACTCCTAACGATGGACAGTGATGAGTAAACTGGAGCAGTAATGTCGTCCCTCTTTCCAGCTAGACCTAGATAAGAATGTCTGCCAATGGTCTAACTGAAAAAGTTAACCAATACCCATGTTATTCAATGATATAGCTGCACCACCATGGGTTCCATAATTATCTGAGAACTATTTAATGTTATGATGGAAAGTGTCATGCTTCTCTCAGCAGCTTTAAAACCTCTAGTAATTTGACATGAGCTTTCCATGGGCATGCTCCAGGAAGGAGGATAGCTCCCAGAACGCGTACATGGAGAATGCCAGCTCTAAACCCTGAGCAGAACATCTCACTGGATCACTGCATCTCATACCCATTCATGCAGTGATTGAAAACAGACAAATATTAA